AGCGGCAGACAGACCTGGTGGTCATCGAGGGCATGGGCAGGGCCATCCACACCAACTACTACGCCGTGCTCAGGTGTGAGAGCCTCAAGCTGGCCGTCATCAAGAACTCGTGGCTCGCCGACCGCCTCGGGGGCAAAATCTTCAGCGTCATCTTCAAGTACGAAGTGCCCTGTAAATGATGGAGCTGGCACGGCCCACGGACTTGCACTAGTTTTACTTTAACTGTAAAGAATGTATTTTTATTACAACAGGGACAAGAGTTCACAGGAAATTCCGTATTTATATTGTGCTTTTGTGACTTAAAAAGCGACAATATGATTCACTCTATAGTCTACACACTCAAATATATATATGTATATCACTCATTGTTTATTTTGGTAAGTGTTTATTTTAATGCTGCAGTATTTGTGATGAAAAGACTTTATTTTTTTGTTCTGTGAGACATTCATATAGAAATATATTTAAATGTCAATGAAACCTTTTTTTATACATCTCTGCCTACTCTGCCAGCAGTGACACAGCACCTACCAAATAGTTTTTAACTGCTAAGTGAACCTGTTGTTGCATTTCCTGATGTTGCATTTTCAGCTTTTAGACTTACTAAATCTCTCCTGCTCTGTGCAGCTCAGCTGATGGAAGGGCTGATCCACCTTCTCACCCCACAAACGCTGCTCAGGCTGTGACTGAGCCAGGGCTGTTGCAGTCTGAGTTAAGGACCAGCCCTGGTTTCCCAACACCTGGAATTCCTAACCCCTTGTTTGTTCCCATTAGCAGGAGGGACCATGGAGGGAATCCTGGAAGGATGAGGGAGTCCTGCAGCTGCACTGAATTCCTTCACAGCAGCTGAAGCTGAGTCTCACTGAATTCCCTCCCAGGGAATGAGCAGTGCTGGGTTCAGGATCACCCATAACTCCCCATCCTGAACTCCCCTGGCTTCTGTTTCCTTTCAGTTTTCCCTCGTGGGACTGACAAGGATTGGTGGTTTTGTTTCTGCAGTGCAATTACAGCCATTCCCAAGGAACACAATTTGTTTTTTCCCTCCTTCAGCTATGCAGTTGATACATGGAGTGATTTCACCACCAGTTTGCCCTAACACTTAAATGCCTCAGCCATCCCAGCTCTGAAAGGGAAAACAGCTTAATGAGGAAGGTGTTTAACATGCAGCTGAGAAAACTGTTCCCCTGAACTTCAGCATTGTTTGAGAGCAGGAGAGTGATGCAAAACACCCTCCCATCTCCCCTTGCAGGGGAGCTGGGGCTCTGCTGTGTTTGACTCATCCCCACATCCTTCCCTGCTCTGGTACTGATGAATTTCCACTGTCAATTCTAATTCTTGGGCAACAAGAACAAAACATTGTCACTCCTGTGCTGGGAAGGGTCAAAGGACAAGCCCTGCCTGGCATTTCTTAGCTCAGGTGCCACCTTGGTGGCAGGAGCTCCCTTTTTGGGGTGCAGGCAGGGCCTGTTTGGGGTTACACAGCAGCACTGTCAGTTCTGATCCAGGAATTGCCCTCCAGGGACCAGCCCCTCCTCTCAGGCAGGGCAGGGTGAGGCTATTTAGAGCTGCAATGCCTAAGCTGCTGTTCCTGATTATGAGACAGACAGGAGCTTTAATGTTCCACGGCTGTTCCTCACACAGGAATTAGTAGCAGAGGCTTCACATTAACCTGTTCTCAGTCACTTCCTCCTCCAGGCCTTCATGGACTTACAGGGTGAACTTCAAACCTAAACATGGATCCACCATCCTGGCCAGCTCTGCTCCAGTTTATCCATTTGTCACAGCTCCACTCTACCCTTTAGCAATTTAAATTCTTCCAAGCCACTTAATTTCCTGTGTCTGCAGCTCCACCACCACTCCAGAAGTGCTGTGTGTGTCTGTAATTAGCAAACTAACACTCTAGGCTAGCAGAAAAACATCTTCCTACACTGATAGAGCTCCTAGGACGTGGCACAACCCTAACACAGCAAAAACTCCTCAAGCATTTGCCTTCCCTGGCGTGTCCTGGCTTTGTCTGGCAGCTCCTTTTATGCGTAGACGAGTGCAGATTTCTTCTGTGAAAACAGAGCAACAGGATTTCTGAAAGAGAAAGGAGAGAAGGCTGTGGGTGGTTGTTCTGTGGATCCATCCTTTCCATGTGCATGTTGGGAGGGCTGGAGAGCAGGAGCACCAAGGGGCACTGGTGCAGTTTCACTGTGTGTGTGTTTTCCTTGTCTGATGACTAAAGAACAGAAAGAACAGGCACCCCTGGGAGTAAACTCATTAAGGATCATTTACTGTCCTCTCTAACACCCAAGGCAGTGCAATGCAGGTTGGCTCACTTGGGAGTTCAGGGAATGTGATTTAATTTGGTTTTTGTGGGGGGGGAAAGGAGTGCTAGGGGTTTATTTTATTTCTCTATATTATGTTTATGCTGTTCAGGCTACAAACCCATCCCACAGCTCAAGCTGTGAAATTTTAGCACTTTAAGGAGTAACTGCACAGCCTCCCCTCACCCCTTGCACAGCTTTCCTTAGAAAACCAAGGTTGGGGTGGAAAGGCTGGTGCAGGAGGGACGTGGGGAGGCAGGACAGGGGCTGGGCCCACCTTGGAGAAAGGAGGGACACAAGGGGACAGGACAGGGT